TCACGGGACTCTCGGCCAGTTGGCCTGGCTTCAGAACAGGGCTGTGCTGCTGCGATGCTCTCACAGCTGCCTCGTGGTTAGTCCCATTTCAGAGGAGGAAAGAGCCAGCCCACGAGGCCAGCCACCCCTATGGTGTGACTTGACCCCTGGCCACAGGTGCTGCACCAGTCTGCAGGATAGCAGACTCTGACTTGTCCCTGGGCCATGAGGTTGAAGAGATGGACACGTGGCCCTGGGCCACTGCGCATATGTGACAGCCCTGTGGCACTGTCCAGCTCCCTGGCCTCTGCCCAGCCTACTCTGCCCACTGGCCAGATGCTGCATGTGCTGCGTCCCCTCACCTTGCCCGTCTCACCTGCTGGAGTGTCCTAGCTGTCCTGTCACCCAGCTCAGGTGCAGGCGCTGAGCATAATACCAGCAGCATGTTGCCGTGGCTACCTGGCAGGCCCAGGAGGGCGGAGGACCAGATGAGGAGGCTGCCTAGAGCCCCAGCCGCCCTCCCTGCACTGGGCGCACACAGCTGGTGGCAGGGGTGTGATTGGTGTGGCTACTGTCAGCTATGGGTAGGTGAATAAAATAAGTAAACAGAATTTGACTATTCCGTTAAGTGCAATTGTGGGTCGATGGTGCCAGGATTCTAACTGAGGAGAGAGTATGTGATTGAGACAAGTGCAGTGGTGTTCTCTTGTCCGTAAAAGCAGAGGAAACATACCACACGTGTGTGCATGAGCACACACAACACACATATGCCGAGGTTTTATTATGTCCGTGTGAGGTGGCTCCGTGGTAGCAGTGAGGGGAGATTCTATGAGAGCACTCAGGAGTTCTGGGTTTAGAGGAATCATGATTCCAGCCTTTACCAAGTGCTGGTGTTGGCCAGTTTCCCACGGCCTCCTGCCTCCAGCTGCCTGTGTCAGCATGTGCAGCTACAGCACCTGGCCGCTAATCCTGCCCTGGGCCTGCTTGATGCCCCAGAGGGCTCCCTCCTGGGCAGCCCCTGATCCAGGTGGGAGGGTGTTAGGGCTTGTAGGTCCCTTGTCCTTAGGCCCAGTATCGACCTGTGTCACTCCAGACCTCAAGGCAGACTTCTGCCTGGGAATGGCTCCCACCCTGTCTCCAGGTGTATGTGGGGGCTGGGCCTCACTGGGATCTGCCCAATGCCCATGTGGTGATGGCAACCAGGGGGATCCCTTCTGGACCAGCTGCCCACCTCAGATCGCCCTGGCACCATGGGCCCACTAGAGACGCACGGTCTAGGTCCCACCTGCCTGGTTCTGCTATCACTGCAGGTCCATTTGGGGCCCCTCATCCCTCTGTTTCGCACATGGCATTGGGTGCTGGAGGGGGAGACGTAGCTGGGAAGCCATGCCTTATTCCTGGAGAAGGGGATGAAAGCAAATGTTCACCTTCCTGAGGGAGCTCCTGCAGAGGGCCTGGGGCCTCGGGGCACCCAGGGCCACAGGGGCTGTCTTCAGGGCACGGGTGCCCATTCCTGTTCATCCTGGAGGCCAGATGGGGCTCCTCCGAGAGCTCGTGTGGCTGGGTTCACCTGTGCTCTGAGCAGCACCAGGAGATCCCCACAGCCACGGTGGTGTCCTGGCCTCCTGGAGGTGGCCTGGGTTGCAGGCCTCACGTGGGGACAAGGGACAAGGAGGGGTCTGTGGCCTCAGGCTCACCATGCCGTGCCTGCAGGCCTCTCTGTGTCAGTGGAGGTGGGACCTGAGGCGCCCCGGCTGCTCTGCTGGCCCCAGGGCAGAACCGAGGTTTCCTTTTGTCCAAGATGGTTGGTGTGCATTGATCAGGGAGCCCCACGGAGGGTCTGAGCAGTGTGAGCAGGCCTTCTGTGTCCCATAGAGAAGGCGGGGGACGTGGGACTGGCCTTGCTCCTGCACCCGCCGCTGCCCTGCCTGCTGAGCAGCATGGTGAGGAGAAGGGAGCCCGGGAGGAAGGGGCTCTTCCTGTGAAAGCTCACGTGGGACTCCAGGCCGGCCAGTAGAACATCTGGTGTGGCCCTGACGGCAGGGGTCAGAGCCCTTGCTGGGGCAGTCTTGGTCACTCTTCTGGAAGCCACTGCCTTCTCGCAGTCTGTGTCCCCCGCACCAGCCCTGGGTGTCTGTGTGTGTCCCCGCACTACTGTGGTACAAATTAACTTCCCATGTGTCCGAGCTCATGCCAGTGGACAGTTGTCACTGTTCCCATGCCCCTTTCTGCTGAGTTCAGCAGGAATAGACTGAGTCCTTTGCTGTGCCTGTCCTCTGTCCTCTGTGACAGAGCTTGCTGGGGCCCTGACAGGTGCTGTGTGTGTGGTTAGTTGGGCCCGTGGGGACCTGGCTGGGGCACCCACAGCCCGTGATAGACAGCGATGGCCAGGCAGTGGCAGCCAACATGCAGCCAGACCTAGCCACAGCTGAGGGCACCCCGGGCTGTGCAGAAGGCCCACAGCAGCCGCAGCACACCCACTGTGAACTGGAGAGCAGCCTCAGCCACCCCACCTCCAGTGAGCTCACGACCCACAGCGAAAGCCCTTGTGCCCTGTTGGTGCGTCAGGGGTTGGACCCGAGGACGCCCAAGCTCGTCCCCCCTGCTGAAGGAGTCGGTGCTCCCAGGCAGAGAACAGCTAGTGCAGTGAGCATGTGGAGCTGTGGGGAGAAGCAGGCTGGGCTGCGGGAAGGACAGCTGCTCTGCTTCCACCTGCCAGTAGCCTGGGCCTCCTGGGCCGTGGGGTCCCTAGGCCTGTGGTCCTGCCCTTGATTCTCCTCCCTGCCCCTGATTTTCTCCATGTCCCCTCACTAAGGCTGGGGCCTATAGGCTGGGCAGGGGCTCTGAGCCCTACCTCCTGCAGGACAGCCCGGCACCCTGATACCAGTGACCCTCTGCAGCTCCTGCTCGTGGAAAGAAGCGCTCGTGCGTGCACGTGAAGCCTGTCCCTTCTGGCCCCTGCACCATGGGAAGTCCTGGGCACCGCCAGCTCCCTGTGGGTGACTGATGTGTAGGTAGGGACTGGGCTTGGGTTGGCCTTGGGTTTGGGTGCTGGCTCTAGCATTTCCTAGCTGTGTGTCCTATGTAAGCTGCCCTCTGTGCGACAGCTTGCTCCCCTGCCCTCTCTGTGGAGTGAACTGCCTGGTGGGGAGAGGCGTGACTTGCAGCCTGTGGAGCCCATAGGAAGGCCTCAGGAGTCTGCCACCCAGTGTAGCCAAGGCCGGGCTTGGGGCGCGGGCCTTGGCATGGGCAGTGACCAGAGCCAGGCTTGGTGCTTGGCAGGGTCAGCGCCTGCTCTTTGAAAGAGCTGTGTCAGTAACCTGGAAATCTGCGGAGGTGGGATCAGTCTGCGGCCTGGCTGAACAAGGAGCCCTCAGCTTGACATTGACGTCTCCATCCTAGGCTGCACTCACAGCCAGGAACCCCATTTCTAGAGCATGTGGTTGTAAGGAGAAGCCTAGAAACTGTCTGGGTCTGGGGCTAGCCAGCACCATCCTCCTGACTGGCACCCTCTGGGTGCCACAGACCCTAGCTGAGCCGAGAGCCCAGCCCCATGCTCCTCAGCACCCTCCCGGCCATGGCCATTCCCACAGAGCAGCCACACACCCCTGCTCCATATTTAAGCCCAGTAATTGAATTGCAATTGATAGTACATGTCGGTTTAAGATCATGCTAATTGCTTCATTTCCCAGAACACTCCTAAAAAGAAAATGAATTTCCCTGTAATATTTTCAGTGGGGTGAAATGACCCTTGTGGAAATCAATCCTGGCTCTAGAATGAGCTGCAGAGTGAGTGGGCGTGCTGGGGCGGGGCTGTGGCTCCCCTCCTGCAGCCTCAGCAGGCATGAGGAGCTTTCCCGGCCTGAGAGTAAACCCAGCCTCGTGCCAGGCACCGTGTGAGGCTTAGCAGGGCTGTGCCTGTGTAGGCTCTGTGAGCTGGCCTGACTCGGAGGGGACTGGTCTCCCAGGGTCTCAGCACTGGCTAGAGGAGAAACTGTCCCTGTGTGAACGTCATTCAGGAATGGTGGGGTGTCCAGGAGTGGGCACAGGGGACAGAATTCCTACCCGGAAAGGCCAGGGTGATCCTGGGGCCTCTTGAGTCCCCCCTTCCTCCCTGTCCATTGGGGCTAGGACTTCCCTTTTGGTTGGTGCCAGCTCAAAAGTGGCAGTGTGCACCCTTCTCTTGACACAGTCTGATGTAAAAGGTCATGGAGGTATGGCCATGTCCCTTACGATCCTCATGGCCACTTTGCTGGGCAGAAGTCAGGGTGAAGCCGGACAGTGTAAAGGAGGCAAAGGACCAGCGTAACATGCAACATGGAGGGACCAAGTCCTCTGGCCCTGGTGTCCACTCCCTTGCCCGGTTCTCCAGCTTCCCAGAGCCTCAGTGCTTGGATGTCAATGGGGCTGCCGCCCATGGCCTACTCGACCTTCATCCACCACCGGCCCACCTGCCCACCCATCCTATTCATCTATCCCACTCTGCCAATTTGCTGAGCAGCACCTGTGTGTTGGCCCCTCCTTGATACACAGAGGGGCAGGTGTGCTGTGTCCCAGGTGAGTGGGGATGGGGTATCCATAGGAGTGCAGCCCTGCAGGTGGTGTGGCCAAAGTGCTCTGTGCTGGACACTTTCTGGCCTGCTTCTATCAGGCTTCCACCAGTGTTGGGGATATGATGTCCTGCACTAGACCACACGTGCCCAGGCAGACCCTGGTGCTCGTGCATGCATTGAGAAGCTTGTGGCACTGGGGTGCTTGGAGAGCTTGGGGCTTGGCCTGAGAGCAAGATAGCGGAGCATTCAGACTCTGCCCCACCTCTGACCTGGGGCAGCCTTGGCCTGAACTTACCTTTTCTGGGCCTGACTCTGCCCATTCTGGGCCCAGATTGCTCCTCTGACAGGAAGAGTACAGACCAACTGATCACTAGTTCCCATCTGGCCCAGGGCTCTCCATATACGGTGTCCTTAGTCTCTGTGCCTGTAGCACGCTGCCCCTAATGCAGCTCCATCCTGTTTCCTCAGAGCAATTTGCTGGACGTGAACCAGATCATCAAGGACTTGGCCTCCATGGCGTCGGAGCAAGGAGATGCCGCTGGTGGGTACCCACTCTACCCTCAGGCCACGTAGCCCCAGCTGGCTCTTCCCCCAGGTGTGGGCACAGCTGCCTAAAGATGACGGAGGCCCAGAATGGCTTCTGCCTGGCTCTCCTCCTGCTCCACCTCTACCCTGGGCCTTGCACTGACTAGGGACTCTCTGGAGTGAAGGCCAGCTGCCTGGGACAGGTGACTGCAGCATGGCCCTGAGGATACGGAGGGTGGGGGCCTAGAGCCCCTTAGAGTCTGGTGCTGTCTCCAGTGACTGTCAGGAGCCATGTGTGCCTCTGGGAAATGGGTGTGCCTGAGCTGGGTGGAACAGGGGCAGTGGCTGGGCCTGCGGGCCTGGCCAGGGCATGGTATCCCCCAAACCCCTCACTCCAAAGGAACTGGGCCAGCTCTGCCAATGGGTCAAAGGTCAAAGGCCCTTGTCCCTGGAGCTGCCCTGCTTCTCAGGAGGAAATAAGAAGCAAGGCCAAGGCCGAGGCCCAGGCCTGTCCCTTGCTGGTGAGGGTTTCTGGGGTCGTGTGGAGCAGGGAGGCTTGAGGGTCATGTCACAGTGTCCTCACCCACTGCGAGAGAAGGGCCTTCTCTAACAGAAGGGACACAGACCAGAGAGGCCTGGTGGCATCCGCCCAGGCCTCTGCTACCCCAGCCCTTCTGCTCTGCCTTGCTGTGGGGTCACCTTTGACCTCCCCAGAGAGGACCTCCCTGTCTTCCTCTGTGCTCCACAAGTTCTGGCCCCAGCAACTGGCCATTTATATTTGGACAATTTTTTTCGGGGTGGGGGGGGTACCACAGATTGAATTTAGGGCCCTCAACTACTGAGCCACGTCCCCAGCCCTATTTTGTATTTTATTTAGAGACAGGGTCTCACTGAGTTGCTTAGCGCCTCGCCGTTGCTGAGGCTGACTTAGAACTTGCCATCCTCCTGCTTCAGCCTCATGAGCCGCTTGGATTACAGGTGTGCACCACTGCACCTGGCACACTGGACAATTTTAAGTGTTCAGACCTTCCTCTCCGCTGGGCTCTGTGCCTGCCTAGTTAGGTCTAGGGCATTTTGAACATGAAGTGGTTACTCTGATCACTTTCCTTCTGGACTGAGCGAGGTGCTGGCTCCATGGGTGGCCTCCTTGCTTGTGCAGAGCCCTGGGGGCACAGGGACACTGGTGTCATTACCCAGTGTGGTAGAGGCCCTGTGCCCACCTGATTTGGGGCTGGGGTGCACAGGTGGGGACTTTAAGGGCTTGCTCACATGTGGGCCATCCTGTTGCCCCAGGGGTGCCAGCCTTCTCCGTAGCTGCTGCCACCCAGAGTTCTGGCCCCAGCTGCAAGGTGGAGACGCCCTGGCCAGGGCAATGGTCCCCTCGGCTTGGTTGCCCTCCAGGACCCAGACTCCTGCACTTACTCATCTGCTTCTTCCATCCCTGACAGCCATCCCCTCACCCGGGCCTGTGCCTCTAACGAGGAGCAAGCGCCCCGAGCTGGGTGGGCCCTGGCACCCTTCTGGAGCTCTGCTGCTCCCAGGTCGGTGGAGGCCTGAGCCAGGAGCCTAAGCCTGGCAGCTGCCCTCCCTGTTGCTCCTGGACTCACCCTGTACCCCTTCAGAGCCTGGGCTCCCAGCAGGGCCTGCTCTGGGCATGGCACTTGCTGAGCTGCCTCGTCACTGCTCCCAGGACCCGCCCTATCCCTCTTCCCGTCTCCTTGCCTTCTGTCTGCCTCTAAAGTGGCCACCGCCCACTGCCCCCTGGGGCTGGCTGGCTGGGCTGGAATGTCAGAGTGTGTACAATGGCTTGTCCACCCTAAGGCCACCCAGTCCCCGTAATGGACCCATGGGAGAGCTGTGGGGAGCGGAACAAGCCAGGGCTGACCTGCACATGGGCAGGGGAGTCACCTAGATAGCTGGCAGGCAGGAGCTTCAAGAGTCGCCAGATCCCCAACTGGTGGGTGTGGGTCACCTGTATGTAGGACACTGATGTGGGGACCTGTGAGGACCAGGACCACAGGCCTGGTGGCACGCTGTCCACAGTCTCTGCCTAGTGCTCAGCCTCTGGTGCCTTTCCAGGGTCCAGCAGCAGGAAGGCCACCAGCCGGCAGACCTCCAGCCCCGAGCCAGCAGAGGCAGCCCTGCTACCAGGGGTGGGGCTGGGCACCACACCCCTGCGGCCCAGCAGCCACTCCCGCACCAAGACACGCAAACCCAACTTCAGTCCCCAGGAGACAGAGGTGCTGGTGCGGAGGGTGGCACGCCACTACCCACTGCTGTTCGGGGCACTGCGGAGCACACCTGCTCGGAAGCACCACGTGTGGAGCAGGATCCTACAGGCTGTGAATGCGCTGGGCTACTGCCGCCGTGACCTGGGTGACCTCAAGCACAAATGGAGGGACCTACGAGGGGCCGTGCGCAAGAAACTGGCAGAGAGTCCGGCTCCTGGATTCATCCTCACACCTGTGGAACGCATGGTGGCTGAGACCTTCTCGACCCCAGCCTCCCAGGGCAAGAGCCAGGCAACAAGTAAGTGGGCCCCTCCCCACAGCCCACCCCTGGCCTGGCCTGGCCTGGCCTGGGCAGTGAGCTGGCTGGCTTCCGGTGCACAGCCCCCAAAGAATGAGACTCCAGGGGAGTGCTGGGGGCCTGAGGAGACGGCTCATCCCCCTCCCGGCCCCTCGGCTCCTGGGTAGGAAACCCAAGGCCCAGGCCCAGGCAGAGGCCTGCTCATTTGGGGAGGAGGGGTCAGGTTCATGCTGGCCCTGAGCTCACGGTCCACTGGGACTTTCCCCAGCCTTGGCATAGTACAGCAAGGGGACCCTCAAATCCATCTCAAAAACTGAAGTCACTCGAAGCCCCTGGGTCTCATGTGGCCTGGGGGGTCAGTGCCTTTGCCACCACTGGCGGCAGCAGCTTGGGGAGCTTAGACCTGCTGCTGGGCTCAGGGCTCCACGGCAGCTGCCACCTTGAGCTATGGCCACAGCAGGGAGCTGAGTGCCTCCGTCCCTTCCCTGGTATCTAGAGAGGACACTGGGGCCCCATGGCCCCGTTTCCCCGTCACTCTAGAGAGACAAGTTCCAGGATGGTGAAGGCATCCCTTAGATATACAGGGCCCTACTCTGTGTATCTAAGGGAGGTGCAAAGACTGAGGTCCAGGGGCCTGGCTGAGCAGCCCAGGCACAGTCTCCGAGGCCCCGCTCCTCTCTGCCATGTCTGCTGCGTCTGGTGTGGTGCGGCTGGGAGGCCTCTTTGGCCCCAGGCCATTGTCCACTCTGTCTTCTCAGGAGTGCTCATGACAAAGGTCAGGGCAGTGACTGTCCTTAGGCCACCAAGTGTTAATAGCAGAGGAACCAAGCAAGGCAGCAAGCTTGGGTGGCCACAGGCTTGAAGATGTGGCTGTGGCTGGGAGGAAGGAGGCTGCCCTGCATAGCTCCCTCCTCCTCCAAGCTGGACCAGGCCTGGAGTGGAGAGTGCCCAGGGTTGATGCCATCAGATGGCAAGCCACCAGCAGGTGGAGGCTGCCTGGCCAGAGCCACGTCCAGCCACTAACCTTTGCTGTGCCTTTTGGTGTCAGAGGTGGCCTCTGTGTTGGTGAATGCTGCTGGAGAATTTGGCCAGAGCCAGGAGGAGCCCAGGCCAGTGCCTTCCCGCCTCAGCCTGCCTTGTCCGGGCCTGGGGAGCAGGACTGCGTGCCCTCCTCAGCAGGCCCTTCAGAATCGCTCTGGTGCTCTTGGCCTCTCAGAGCGCTTCTTCTGCGGGGCTGCTCCAGGAACCACCTTTTCCAGAAGTCTCTGTTCTTGGCTGGGCCTGTCCTGCAGCCCACACTGCCTCTGAGCCCTCCCATGATGCGGGCTCGGGTGCTGTCTCCACTCTGCCTCCTCTGCTGCCCCTCCTCCTCACCACCCTGCCTCACAGCCAGGCCTGCTGGACTCTCCTCCTGGGAAGCTCTGGAAGGACGTGGGGATGGAGCCAGGAGTAAGATGAGCCTTCTCAGGGTGGGGCAGCCAGCAGGACCCCACCTCAGACGGACCAGCAGGAGGTCCTGGGGGGACTCGGAGCCGTACCTGCTCTGATCCTTCTCTTCTGTGGTGCCTGCAGCTGGGACACGTGGGCAAGGCCAGGCCTGGCTGGGAGACGTGTAGGTCCAGGACAGGTCTCGTGCTGGGCCTCAGGATGCACAGGTCCTGATAGGCCTGGGGAGGCTAGGGGTATGGGACTATTACCATCCCCAGGGAGGCCTCGTGCCTTCTCCTTTAAGGCAGAGGCCTGCCGCTGTGTTCCTGAGGCAGGCTTGGGTGATTCAGGCAAGGGTGGGCCCTGTGGGGCCTGGGTGTTCAGGTACTTTCTGCAAGTCCCCGACCTGGAGGGCAGCAGGAACGCTGGAGTATACCCTGCATCCCCTGCCCTGGGTGAGGCCCAGCCCAGCTTCCTTCATCCCTGATCGATCAGCCGCAGCCCCTATGGCCTTGTAGCCCTGGTTCTCCTAACGGAGGAGAAGCTTCTCTGGTGCCCAGGAACCTCTTGTGAGATGGTCTGCATGCCTCTGATGTTTGTTGAATGAAATGACTGTGTGGGAGGAGCAGACTTGCCCTGATAGGCACTGAGGCCAGAAGCAGGGAAGTAGCTGCAGGGCCGGCAGTGGGGTGGGAGTGCCCCCCGATCAGTGCCAGCCTGGGGAAGCAGGACTCGTCCTCTCTTCAGCAGGCCCTGTCCAAGGGTAGCCTCTGGGGCTTAGACAGGGCCGGGCCTGGGGGCCTGGGGAAGTGAGCTGCCGAGCTCATGGATTTCCAGTTTCTGTGCTCCGAGGCTGCTGACAGGTGCACTTGCCCAGGGGCGCCTCCGGCTCTCTGCATTTGTCCTGAGGGGTGGTTGGTGACCAGTGCCATCTTCTTTAGCCCCTGGAGGCCTGCACAGCCCTTGGGCTTTTCAGAGGCTGTCTGAGGTAGAGCAAGTCCCACATGCAGCGCCCTGTGCCAGGAGACAGGAGGGTGCCCTGTGGACCTGGAGCCTTCAAGGCAAGGCTTCTGAGCTGTCAGAGAGCCACCTGGCCATGCCCCATACAGCCTGGGGCTTAGGCAGGGCCGGGCCTGGGGGCCTGGGGAAGTGAGCCGCGGAGCAAGCGCATGGGTTCCCACAGTTTCTGTGCTCCGGGGCTGTTGACAGGTGCACTTGCCCAGGGGCGCCTCCGGCTGTCCTTCCTGCTTCCTTCTCTGGCTGCCCTCTGATGTGACAGGACACTTTGAGTTTGGGGCAGCTGCAGCCTGCCCAGAAGAGGAAGAGGTGTGCTGCAGCCTTGTTGCCCCTTCCCTCCCCGTGCTGGGCTGTGTCCTGGAGACCTGTCGCCCTGTAGCCTGGCCTTGACTGGGTTGGAGGGTGGAGCAAAAGTAGAGACTGGGGGCTCAGGTCTGCCTGAGGCCTAGGGGTTTCTCAAAGGTAGGGCTCCAGGGATGAGGCCGCCTTCTCTCATAGAGCAGCCGCCCCCGCTGGAAGGCTGGGAGTCGCCGCTCCCTCTGCAGGCCCCATGGGGCTGGGGGCACACGCTGCAGCGGCTCAATGGCCCTCGGCCTCCTGGGCCATAGGTGGGCCCTTTGCAGTGGGTGTCCGCTGCCTGATTCCCGAGGCAGGCCTTCCGACCGCTGCCCCTCCCACAAGGACTTCACGTGTCTCAGGCGAGTGCCTGCCTCTGCTGGCCTCTGGGGCCTGCCGCACTGGGTGTTGACTGCCCTCTGCCCCTGTGTGGCCTGAGTTTGCCCAGTGGAGTCAGGACAACTGGACGTGCCTTCTGCCATGTGGTGCTACTTCTTGGCCACTGCCTGGTGTAAAATTTGTCCCCAGGACTGGGCCCAGGCCGTGCCTTCCCAAAGCCACTGGTCCCCAGCCAGCCCCATGCTCTTTGAATGGCCTTGTTGGAACCCAGCCACCGTAGAGTCCCACGTTCACAGCCCTGTCCTCTCAGCGGCACTGCAGGACCTGTCCCTGAGGGGGGCCATGGCCAGATGGGAGGCCGCCCGAGGCAGCCGCAGCGGCTCTGGCTTTCCTCTTCACTCTTTCCTGAGGGGCTTTCCCCTGCCCCCTCCAAAGTCTGCTTCCCCAAGGACACTTCCAGGCCCTGGTCCTTCTCTCAAGGCCGAACACCGTCCACACCAGGGTGATCCTTGAGTGGGCCCTGAGCCGCATCCCTGCAGCCTCTGACCCTTTAGAGGCTGGACCTCGTTTCTTGAGTGTGCAGCCCACATGGGAAGGAGCTCAGGGGCGGATGCACGTCCAGCCAACCTGGGCTCGGGCTCCCCTGGGGCTCCGGCTCCCTGGGGCTAGCTCAGGTGATGTAGGCTGGTCAAAACGTGGGCCTCCACCTGGTGACCACCTTCTGCTGTGGTGACTTGCAGATAGTACTGCAGCAGCACGTGTGGAGGCGGCCGGGGAGCCCCGGGCTGGGCTGGGCTGCCATACCAAGTAAGTGGGTCTGAGGGTAGGAGCGCTGGCTGGCCCAGCCTCGGTCCCTTTGTCCCTCACCCATCTGTCTGGGAAGCCAGGCCCTGCCTGTGCCTAGAAGGGACAAGCCCATGGTCTTCTTTGAGTCAGGCCACTGGCTTACGTGTGGGCACTGGGAGGGGGGAAGAAGGGACAGAGCCATGGTCTGAGTGGCTCCCGCAGTGGTCAGCACCATCTCCTCTCATTTGGACTCCCCACCACCTTACCCCTCAGCTTCCTCACCCGCCTGGCCTACAAGGTGGTGGTTAGGTCTGTAACTGGCACAGTGGGAGCTGGCCAGTGGGGTGTGGGCATAGCGTGGCTGTGCTTCCGGGGAGGCCGGTGCACTGTGGTCCTCACTGGCAGGCTGCCCTAGGTAGCCCTGACCCCCTTGTCCCAGGAAGGCTGGCCGGCTCTGCCTGTCTGCCCTTCCTGAGCGCTCTCCAGGCCTCACTGTGGGGTGCTAGCCCGGGGCTCTGCAGCTGCCTGGGGCTGCTGCTTGGAGGTGTGGGTGGGTTTTAGGGAGGGAGACAAACCTCCACTGTTGCACACGAGCAGGACCCAGAGCAGACTTGAGGGCCACCATCGCCTTGTGCCCACCACCATGAGGAGGGCCTGACCGCGCCAGGCAGGCTGGAGACCTTAGTCCAGCAGGAAGGAGGGCCAGCAGCCTTGTCCCCTGGCTCACTTGCTCACTGTGTTCCTTTGGTCCCTGCTGGCTCCTACAAGCAGATCCTGTCCCTTGAGTTTGTGTCCCAAGGACCAGACAGGTGGGCATTCAGTCTGGACATGGGGGTGGTGGGGTACCCTGGGAGTTCAGAGGCCCCCCAGGTTGGCTGGGGTGGGAGGGCTCCCCGGAGAGCACACACCTGCTGCGGCTGAGCCGAGGGAAGGTCTGCTGAGTCCCGAGGACAGGCCACTGCAGCCCGCTCCAGTGAGGATGGTCGTGTGAGGGCTGTGACGAGGGAGGGGCAGCCACAGTGCCTTGCTTTCCTGGGGGTCTGGGGAATGCACTGTGCTTGGCAAAAGCCCTCGGTGGCCTTGGAGAGCAGGAAACGAAGAGCCTTGGTGGGGAGAAGGTAGAGGCGAGGTGGGGCTTGCTGCCCCCAGGCTGAGGCTGACCTCCACGCTGGGGTGGGTGGCTGCAGGCCTCGGCTGGCATTCAGCAGGAATGTGTGACGGAATGATGGTCAGGGCCTGGTCACAGCTGCCTTCCCCCATTTTCCATCATGGCCATCAGATTCAAGGTCAGTGTGGCCAGCGGTGGCCCTTTGTGATGGCTGGTGAGTGGGACTGGGGCACCTTGGGATGGCCACTCAGGCTCCTGTCCAACCCTCAGTCCCAGCCATCTTGTGGCATGGACAGGTCTCCACTCAGGGCCCTTCCAGAAGCTTCCTGGGGTGGGACTTGCAGGCCAGTGCATCAGGAGGCACACACACAGAGGACCTTGTCCTGAATGACAAGAGGACTTGAGTGCCCAGGACCAGCTGGTCAGGAAGGATGCACAGATGCCTGGGGCAGCAGAGGGAGATGTGACCATGGGGAGGAGGAGGAGGAAGCAGGAGGGGAGGTAGCCACACCGACCAGCTCCTCCCGGTGGGTGTGGGGCCCAGAACTTCCCCCACTGTAGATGAGGTGAGTGGACACAGCAGGTGGTCTGCCAGAAGCCACCAGCACAATGCCCTGCCCCCATTGGCATGGCCCTCCCACAAGCACATCAGGAAGGGATGTCTGCTGGCCTGTCCATGCCCAGAGGCCCCAGGCCTTCCCCTTTCAGGTTAGGAATTGGCAGCCTAGAGAAGCAGGGGAGGTCCTAGTGCCGCCCAGCCGTGGAGACCAGGCCCAGCTGGTCTGGGAGCTCAAGTCCTTTGGACCCTGGGAAGCGCAGCCCCCCTTCCTTCTGAGATGGCACTGTGGGAACTCAAGGCAGGCGGGGGGCGGGGCTGGATAGAAAGCTCAGTGGGAAGACGGATGGATGGGTCAATGAAGTGACAAAAAGTGGATGACAGACAGAGGGTAAGTGAGGGCTGAGTGGCTGGTGAGCAGGTGGGTGGATGGATCCAGGCGAGGAGAAGGGTAGTGGGACTGCCTGGGTGACAGAGCAAGATGAACAGGTGGGTGGGCAGGAGGATGACTGTGGAGAGACAGACAGAGGAACGGCCAGGGTGCCAGTAGATAGAGGGACCCCTGGGTGGGCAGACGGGGGGGGGGGGGCGGGGGACAGGGGGGGCCCGCCCGGCTGCTGCAGCAGGTGCCTTTGCCTCGCACACCTGGCCTTCTGCATCTCTAAAGGGCGCCGTGCTAGCTGCCAAGGGGACTGGCCCTGAACGGCTGCAGGCAGGGGGCCTCGTGTGTCTGCTGCCTCCCACCTGCTCCCCTGTCGTGCCTGGTACTGCCCACTGGTGGCCAGCCCAGACTGACCCTCCCCTGTCTCCCTCTGTTAGCCGACGAGGAAGACGAGGATGAAACTGCCAACTGCCTGTGGAGACCCCTGAGGACCCCGGAAGGGCCCAGTCCACCTGAACCTGACCCCCTGGACTTCCGAGGAGCTCTCCGTGCATCCACCTCCTCACCCTCCCTGCCTGCCTCCCTGGCATCTGTGCCCCCAGGGGCCGCGGGCATGGGTTCCTTTGGGCCCTCCCCACCTTCCTCAGCACCAGCATCTACGCTGCCCCTGCCCTCCGGGAGGACCCTGTGCACAGCGTCTGAGGCCTCCGTGTTTGAGCAGCAGCTGCTGGACTCCCACCTGCGGCAGGGTGCCCTGCTGGCCTCCTGGTCGCAGCAGCAGGGTGCGCTGATGGCCCAGCAGAACCTGCTGCTGCAGCGGCTGGCGGAGCAGAGCCAGCGGCTGGCTGATGGTGTCGAGGCCCTCAGCCGGACCCTGGAGCGGCTGGTGGCAGTGCGCCCAGCCCAGGAGGGCTCACCCTCCATCCTAGAAGGTAGCCCTGCTGGTGGAGGGGCCTGTGGACCCACCAGAGGCCCCCAGGACAGTCCCCAGGGTGCCCACCCAGGCCCAGAGGTCTTCTCGGGGCTGATCCTGAAGGTGGAGGAAGAGCTGTAGGACTGGCCCAGGGTCCCCTTTGGCACCAGGCCAGGGAGAGGACAAGGACTGAGGAAGCCTGGAGAGGGTGTGGGGCGTCTCCCCACGGTGCCTTTCTGTCCCTGGCCTTGGGTGGGTGTGGCGACCTGCCAGTCTGGCCTCAGCACCAACCTGCTGGTCCAGGCCAGGGTCTACTCAGGACAGTGGCAGTGAGTCTGACCTCCCCCTGCCGGCTCCCACTTGAGCCCCCTGGGCCCGTGGCTGCCGTTGGCTGCGGGTCACCTCTGCAGGCCGGCACCAGTGGGGGGAGGTGGGGAAAAGACGCTCAGCCCGGGGCCTCGGAGCCCTGGGGAGTGGGGACTTGGCAGCTGCGCGGGCTCAGAGGGCCCGGGCTCGGCTCCTTGATTCTGGTTCAGGGGAGCCCCGTCCGTGAGCCTGGAGTTAATTCTCTTCAATTTTATATCAATGTCATAAATACATAAATGCAGACATGAATGTTAATTGGTACTGCATGGGGTGGCGTGCTGTTTTGTACCTGTCGATTTTTATTACAAAAAGTGTTTCTCATATATAAGCACAAATCCCAGCAGAGAGGGCAGTCCTCTGCTGCTGCTGGTAGTGGTGGGGGCCAGCGAGGGGACCTGTTCCTGCCCTGGTGGCTGTGCCTCCGTTCCCAGTCCAAGCACTCCCACTTGGCAGTGAGTCCAAGCACATCCCTTTTCAGGACCTCCTCGCCCTTCAGCTCCCTTGGCCAAGAACTCCCTCTGTGGGCCACACCCTCTCCTGCCCCTAGCAACCAGGGCACAGTCTGCCACCACAGATTGAGTGGCTTTGGGGAGAGAGCAGGAGAGGACAGGTGTGAGCCAGGCCTGGCCGTGGGGCCTTGGTGGCCTGGGCCTCCAGCCTGATGTTTGTGGAAGAAGGAGGTTGGGGAGAATGGCTCACCCCAGGTCTGCTTTGTGGCTGAGCTGCAGGGCTCCGGTAAAGCACAGTGGGGGGCCTCTGGGTTGTCCTTTGGCCCCCACCGGCCAGATACTGAGAAGCTGGGCGGGAGCAGGGCTGGGACAGTGGGTGAGGCAGAGAGGCAGGTGGCGGGACTGCTGGGGCCTGCCTGGCCTCGTGTGTGGAAGGAACACCACGTGGCTGCAGCCGTGCTCCCAGACTTGGGGCTGGTGCCCCGGGTGTGCAGCAGGGCTGACCAGGGACCCGTTGAAGAGAGCCTGGGTCTTGGCCTTCACTGGAACCAAGGAGGATCGGTTTCCCAGGAAGAGCCCATCTGGGTGATGACGTGAGGTGGGCATCTGTGTTCAGGCTGACATCATCCACCTTAGGCTGGGCTCCATGCTCTGTCCCCAGCAGCCCACACGTTGACCCTGAGTGATGGCGGGAGACATCTGTGAAGGGAAGTGAGCTCAGGGTTAATGTCCTAGAGCAAGGACCAGGGGTGTGGCCAGAGATGCCCAGGTGAGCGTCCATCCCGCAGGGGGAGGTATGCCCCCAGCATGGGGTGCTTAACGAAGCCCTGGTAGGGACCCGAGTCTTCTAGGGACTGTGTGACCTAGAAGGAAAGGGCACGAGCAGGATTCCCAGGGCCCCCACCTGGGATGTAGAGGGCGCAGAGGAGCAGCACGGGGTTGGAGTAGTCTCCCGAGGCTGTGGTACAGGAGCTGGGGAGGACCTGTGAGCCCCGGGATCCTGTCAGGGCAAAGATGGAAAGGGTCCTGGTCTGGGGCCTCGGAGGCACGGTGACCACGGCTGGAGACGTTCTGTGACAGCCTGATGGAGGACCTTGCACAGCGTGGCTTAGAAGAGGTGGGCTGGGCGGCCAGGGCAGCTTCCACCAGAGCAGGGAGCCCTGGGCCGCTCACCAAGCGCCGATTTGGCGGTTCAGCAGAGCCAGATGGCAATGCATGTCCAGGATTGGGGTGGGCTGGGGCTGCGGGTGCTCTCTGCACCAAGTTGCTGGGCTCCAAGTGTGTGTCCCTCCCCCCATCCATCCCCGTCAGGTGGGTGCGAGCATTCCCAGGGTGCCACGTCCATCTGACTTCAGAGGAGGGGACCCAGAAATTGGGCAGATCTGCCCCAGTGGGCAGTGTGTTGGATGAGCCAAAGAACTTTCCGTTACCCGCAGTTTAACATGGAAAAACTCGCTCTGAAAATGCCTGGCTGGCCCGCAGGAGAAGGCACCGTCACCAGGGTCTCCCCAACAGCCCTCCAACCCCGATCAGAGAGTGGAATGGGAGGCAGAGGAAAGGCAGGGCCTGAGGGCCTGGCACAGGCGGGTCTGCAGGGTCCTGTCTGGAGGACATCTCCTGGTCAGGACCCCACGTGGACCAGGCCCCTGAGCTGCAGTCCAGAGAAGCAGCAGCTAGACTGCGTTACAGGTTACATCCCAGAGGCTCAGACACATGGTGTGATCTTGTGAATCAAAACAAAATGACGAAATCACAAAATGGGGGGGGGGCGGGGGAATGAGATGGTCAGAAGCTGTCAGGCGTACGAAAGAACCACCCAGGGTACCCTTGAGACATGAGGAACTGGATGGATGTGTCATTTTTCCCCCTGTCACTATAATGAAACATCTGAGGCAATTTAACTTCCAAAACCAAATGGGAGGGCCCATTTGGTTTTGGAGCTTGCAGTTCATGGTGAGGCAGCACACCTTGGCCAGAGTGTGTGGCCGAGCAGAACCACGTACCGCAGCCCAGCAGCAGAGGTGAAGAGGAAGAGAGGGCCACAGTTCCCTCAAGTGCACACCCCTGTGTCTTAAGGACTCCCTACTAGTCCCCACCACCTCCAATAGCACTGCCCTGGGATCAAGCCTTTAACACCTGGGCCTTGGGAAGGCAGTGTCCACACTCAAACCGGGGCAGGTGGGTGCACGCGGTATTGGATCCAAGTGAGAGGCACACGGAAGGTGTTAAGGGTACCAAAGGTGCTTCAGCGATCAGAACCCAGCGCACCCCCCACGGGCATCCCAGAAGACTAGCGAGTGAGGAAGCACTTTGAAGAGGGTGTCTGCACAGGGCCCATGACACACAGACAAGCACCAGTCGGGCCGTAGCACAGTGAGGAGCACATCCTCTGTAGGAAGCTACCGAGCACCGTGGAGAAAGGAAAGATGGGAAAGGGGTGGCAGTTCTGCCCAGGAAACAGTACCTAAGGACGTGCAGAACCCTGCAACCAGCCGGGCTCCTCCAGAGCCATTCCACACAGGGGGAGACCAGGCTCTTGCCTCCAACAGATGCACTGCAGGGACGTCTAAGGCGTGGACGTCAGGATGGGGGAGCAGGGTCCCGGGAGGAAGGTGGGTAATGCAGGCTGAGAGCCGAGGGGTTTGTCAGCCCAGGTGACAAGAATGTCTAAAAGGACAGAACAATACCTGGACCATGGGAGAGTTGTAGCTCCTTGTGTTATTTGCAGGGAACTTTTCGCCTCCGTTAATAACTATACATGATTTAGAAACAAAACTCCTGAAGGGTTCCCTCTTCAAAAGTGAAGGCTTCTGCTCTGCCAAAGAGCCTGTTAAGAAGATGAAAAGAAAAGTAGCTAACTGGCAGAAAGTACTTGCAAATCACATGTCTGACAAAGGATTTGCATCCAGAATATATAAAGAGCTCTCTAAATTCAACAGCAAACAACAACAACAAAATCAGTTAGAAAATGGAAAAGAATTTGATTAGACACTCCATCAAAGAAGATAGGCAGAGAGCAAATAAGCACATAGAAAGATGTTCCACAGCCACCAGGGAGATGCGAATTAAAGCCACCAGGAGGTGGCCCTTCACGCCTGCTGGAATGGCTAAAATGAGACCAAGGATACGGACAAAGGGGTCACTCACACCCAGGGGTGGGGTGTAAGATGTGACAGCTACTTGGAAAAATGGTTCGTTTCATAAAAAGTTGCTTTTTATGAAGTTTTTCTTTTTTCTTTTTTTTTTTTTTTTAATAACAAGTTGATGCTTTGGGGCTGGGCTGTGGCTCATGGGTAGAGCCCTTGCCTTGCATGTGTGAGGAACTGGGTTTGATTCTCAGCACCACATATCAATAAATGAATAAAATAAGGTCCATCAGTAACTAAAAAAATTAATAGAAAAAGGAAACATGATGCTTACAATAGACACCACCAGGTGCCCTCCAGAACACTAATCCCAAAGAAATGAGAACCAACACTCGTGCACATGTGTGCATAGTGTCTGTGACGCTCTTCAGTGGATGGGTGAGGGAGCCAGGACATCCCTGTGGTGGCATCCTACATGGGACACGTGGATGGTCCTCCAGGGCTTTGTGGGAAGCCAGTCTGAAAAGGCCACACTGGGAGCCTTCAAGTACGATGAAGCTACAGAGGGCCACCAGGCCAGTGGCTGGCTGCCAGATGGGGAGGTGGAGTGGGCCTGGAAAGGGGCTGTGTGGGGGCGTTCATTGCGGTGAGGGGCCTCTTCTGAATCTCTGTGGCTGTGGTGGTCACAGGAGCCTACATGTGTAATACGATTTCATAGAACTGTACATATCCCCCAAAAAGTGAAAAAGAAATACAGTGAAATAAAACTTAAGGTCAAAGAAATCTCTAAAACAATAATATCTGAGCACATGATTTCCATGCTGAGAAATGAAAGAAGAACAGTTAAACCAACATCCTTGCTGAATTCAAAAAGGGCAAGGGAAGAATGGTAATACACAGGACAGTATGGCACCGCCACGCAAGGCCTCCCGATGGGCAGACATCTGGAAATGCCCAGCAGACCAGGTGAGCACAGTTGGGTCAGGGAGCCCTCAAAACTCAAAGGGTGTCACGGGAGGGAGATAACACCCTTGCTCTCAGGAGAGACACTAAAACTTAAGAACAGGGAAAGTTGAAAGTATAAAGACAGGCCCATCCAAAAAGATGCAGATCATGAATACGACATAGAGTTCAAATAGTGAACTCAGAAACTTTGCAAGTTGAACATCCCTAACCCATAATCTGAAATCCAAAATTTGAAATTCTTCAAAATCTGAATTTGTTACGCATCGTATCAGCACTCAAAAAGTTACAGATTTTATAGCATTTTGGATTTGGGACTCTTGAGTTAGGGATGGTTCACCTGATACAGGGACTATTGCAGGGACAAAGGGCAAGTGCACTTTGGCTCATAGCCTGTCATCAGCCCCAAGAGGCTTGGTGTGCATTACCCTCAACCAGTGTCAGCTCGGCTGTGTTGAGGTCAGGCTGCCCTGTGGGTGTCCTGAAGAGCTGCCATGACTCATCTAGCACAGGGCATAATGCTGAGCTGAGTGCCAGGTAACATCCCCAGCCCTGCAAGTCACCCAAGGAAGCTCCCTTTGGTCCAGTGGCCAGCTCAGCGACTTCCTGTCGGAGCTCTGTCTCCCTTTCTAAGAGAAAGCCCCAGTGAGAACTTGCTGGTGGGTCTGCTCACTTGACTCCAGTTTGGTTCCCTCATCATCAGATAAGAAAATCCCAGCGCCTGGCATTAAACAAAGCACAATTTGTGGGACACTTCAAAGTA